TATGATACTGATTTTCATTTTCGATGATGGAATGGTTAATTGTGATGTAACTTTTTCCATTGTTCATGGGAAATTGGGATGCTTACTGAAATTTGAGTTTGCCCCATTCTTCACATGTATGGTTGCTTTCTTTGTGTTTTTCCAACAGGTGTGGATGTAAAAACATTTATTTTGATTCACATTTGGAATCAATAGTGGCTGTTCATTCTGTCCACAGTTATATTTGGAGCTATACTTGTGGAATCTTATATGTTAAAGGATTATGATTGTCATTTAATGGCAGAAAACCATTATGGAAATTCCGGATGCTACAAGATTGTGATTGATTTTTAATGGCAAAGCATCAGTGATTGATTTTACTGATTAATTAGGTGTATATTTTGTAATTAATTAGGTGTAGTCAATTACTTGATTTCTTTCCTTTTTTTTGGTAGACTCTTATACCATAAATTACAAGAGAGTTTTATAATTCTGAAATAACAAGAAAATTTACATATTTTAATTCTGCTTTTCAATACTTGATTTGCATCTAACAAATATTTCCTCTTTAGACTAATATGATTTGGAGAGATATTCTTGTTAGGATCAATTGATGAGTGATAGATGACCAATCATCTGTTAATGTCGATTGTTATTGCTACATCTGAGATTATCAAATTCTTTTCTTATTGTTCTGAGAATTACAATTGTTATTAATACAGTTGTCAGTTTGATTAATTATGTTGCTGAGAGATGGAACAGATGATATTACCTAGTAAACAGTCTTAATTCCAGTTTTTCCTATTTCTATATGTTAAGAATTTTTGTATCTGCATTCCAACCTCATTATTATTTTTCTACAAAATATACCTCCATGACAACCAATAAGGAAAGCATTGAAATAATAAAGATAAGAATTTAAGGTTTCTAAGTTCTAATCAAATTCAATATCTTCTATCCTAAATAGCTTATGTTGTTAATCGTAGTAATTGAAAAAAAATCCTAATATTAAAATTCTTCAGATTTAACATCTTGTTCTTCATTGGTATGTCATTGGTCATTTACTTCAATATATTTTTTCTATCTTATGGTCATTGTTATTGTTATTGTTATTGTCACTGTTAGTATTAAGACTATTATTTTGTGCCAGACCTGACTGTTCTGTGCAAGTTTTTATTTCAACTGTGGTGTTTCTCAGACTGAACTTAGACAAACTTCTTTGCGTGATTTCAATGCCTTGTTTCTGCCAGGCGGTTGAAGTGTCGAGTAACGAATATGAACCTTCAGAGAGAGACATTCTTTACGCGGAAGGGGTCACGCAAGGAAATGGTTTGGCTTTTATGGAATTTTCACTCGATGACCGTAGCCCAATGTCGGAGACTTATACAGACAACATGGAAGCTCCATTACAGCCTATGACCAGGTATTTCTGTATATCATTCTCAGTGCCCATATACATAGTGGGGCTATTAAAGATAATGAAACTTTAATTGATTTGCCCGTTTACAAAACTCATAATCAACTTAAGCACAGATTACATATTTGAAATCTCAGCTTGCAAATCCGTCGTTCAAAAGCTGTCATGCCAGTGTGGCAGCTTGAGAAATTCTTTCTGCTTTTTCATCTTCTTTTGGATAATTGACGTGAGTGATCTCTGCCCCATGTAGAAGGGCTTGTCTAATTTTAGGACCGTGTCTGTAGCCATGAATTATTGAAGGATGCAAAGTCTTTATTTTCTTGTTCTTATGATATCTAGGACTCAAAGTAAGATTTGCTGTTGCAGATACCAGCTTATTAGGGTAAACGCAAAGGGAATGAACGAAGGGTGCAAGTGGGTGGCAATGTTTGAAGATGTCAGGGTAGTGGTCTTCTGTGTCGCCCTTAGAGATTATGATCAGATGTGGCTTGCACCAGAGAATGGTGTTGGTGGAGCCCTGCTCCAGAACAAGATGATACAAAGCAAAGATCTTTTTGAAACAATGATCAGGCACCCTTGCTTCAAGGATACCCCCTTTGTCTTGATACTAAACAAGTATGATATCTTTGAGGAGAAGGTCAATCGAGTGCCCTTAAGTACTTGTGAGTGGTTCAATGATTTCAGTCCAGTGAGGGCTCACCACAACAACCAGTCATTAGCTCACCAAGCTTACTACTATGTCGCGATGAAGTTCAAAGACCTATACGCTTCCCTAACCGGCCGGAAGCTTTTTGTGTGGCAAGCAAGGGCAAGGGATCGAGTGACAATTGATGAAGCATTTAAATACATAAGGGAAGTTCTGAAGTGGGATGATGAGAAAGAAGACCACTACTGTGGAGTAGAGGATTCATGTTACAGTACAGATATGAGCTCGTCGCCTTTTGTGAGGCAAGACTGATAAGCTCCGGTCACTTGTGAGATATTATTGGTACTATCTTTTCATAGACAAGAAAATTGTAAGAAGAGAGAGAGAGAGAGAGAGAGAGAGAGAGAGAGAGAAGCCATGTTCTTGCCCCTTTATTGATTCCAATAAGATGATTGTGATGTCCTATCTATGGCTCCTTTTGCTTTTCAATATATTCTTCTGTGAATTTTCGAAGCATTGATTTATTGTTGTTAATATGAAAAGCATGTTTGGTTGGGTTTCAATGTCATAGTATGTTTCATGGATTTATTGCATTAACATGTTTGGTTATACAAAGGGTAAATAGCCATCTATTTATTAAAATAAGTGACTGCTAATACAATTATTTCTTACATTATACTATTTGGTTAAAGAATTATAAATGATAATTTAATTTAATCATATTTTCCTTATTATATAAGGTTAGCGAGAAGCTACTTATTATTTAGTATAATTTGTTAATGAAATATTTTTAATATAAAACATTATTGAAAAAATTATATAGTCATAAATTTGTTATTTGTTACAGTTTGGTATCTAATGTTATTTGATTCTCTTCCTCTACCTTTCCTTTCCTAGCCCAGCTTCCTCGTTCGCCTTCTTGAACCAGCGTTCATGTCCCGTACTCAGCCTTCTTCTGTCAGTCAGTTGTGGATCCTCCACCACCTTGGGCTGGTTTTGCTCAGAACCAGCATCAAAAAATTTGGAGGTTAATGAGCAGATTTATACCCTATACATGGATAAACCACAAGAAAAACAGATTAGATGTTCTTTTGTTGGTACAATGTTTAGCGAGCAATGTCTTTGATATGTCTAGCTCCACGCAGAGCCTTGGGTACCTCCCTCTTACGATCAGTGAGGTAGTGGTGTCAACTTGGAGCACGCATCCAAACCGGGGTCCCAATTTGGTTTCAGGAAAGTTATATCAAAGTATTCAATAAGTAGTTCGACGAATCTGATTCATACTGCTATTTTGTCTATCACAGCGTCCTCGAGTTCAAAGTTCAGGGTCCATGATTTTACAGCAAGATGGTGGTCAAGTATGATCTACGACCCTGCCATTAGAACAAATTCAAAGTCAGCTTCTTTGGTGAATTTAGCCGGGTAAAAGTTGTTGTCGATATTGCTCAGTTGAAGGATGCCATTAACCTGCCATAGCTTCTTTATTCTCTATTGCTGGAAAGTTTTATCACCAATGCTAAATGCCATGGTTTCCAAAGTTGATGTTTTTCCTCAGCTGAAAGTTGGACGTTTGGTGGTCTTCATCGTCGTCCCCATCTAGGAGATTCATGTATCTCGGTTGATTGTTCGAATCTGATTCCACCAGGTATTCCAGTTGGGCCAATCAAGACAATAATTTGCTTTTCCAGTTTAATATTGCGTGTGTAATCATTCTGGTTAGAATCTACCATCGATTCCGGGTTCATCTGATCCTTGCCTCCAGGATCATGGCTACTATAATTTCTACCATTCTCTGTTGTAAAAGGTGACGTTGCAACGTAAAGGATTGCATGGTTCATTCGAAAATATCTCTTCAACCATATTTTTTCACCGTCTCTGACCAAACAAGTATTTACTATTTAAGAATTTCATTAATATAAAATAACGATTAATGATTTAATTCCAAATCAATGGTCCTTCCTTTAAGTCTAGCACCTTAAAGAAGAAAAAATTATGGCGTTTCCTGCCTGCCAAGTAGATTCAGTGTTGAACTAGTGGAATTAGTCACAAACATTAGCTAAAAGTCTAGCACATAAATCTGGATATCTATGATTTGCCTAGAGGTCTATCTCCTTTCACTACAAACTTCTGGGTCTAATTGTGAGATAAGAGTATTATTTCCTTTTAACTATACTCATATAATTCATTTTTGAATCATTACACAGACGTTAAATTTTGAGATTAAACAATAAAATAATTCTCAAGATATAAAATAAATCTATAAAAAAACGCTTTTCTTTGAAGATCTTGTCTTCATCACAACCAACAAAATTTAGACAGACGAAAAACCAAAGCAGTCCAGTCATACTATAGCAAAAGATTTGAACAATCTGTGATTGCTTTTCGGATATGTAGCACTCCAGGCGTCAACAGAAACTATTACATTCACTTTTAAGTAATGCAATGTTGCTAACAAGGTAATGAATATCTGAAATCGGAAAAAGACACAAAAGATTATCATCTAATTGTTTCTCAAAAGGGAAGAATACAGAGAGTTCATTGTTACCATTCAAAGAAAGTAAAAATGTCGCCACTGGCCCAAAGTCTCCCTGACCGCTTAACCCAAAATTACACAATAAGCTGCTTCTTATAGAAAAATGTTGGTGATAGAAGTTAACAAGATATGGAAAAGAGCGCGTACACAGTTGCTCCCTATTGCTCACACAGGCTTACACTACGCTCTCTATTTGTCACCATTTCATCATTTTTCTCCAAGGAAATTGTTATAATGGGGTGAAAAAGACGCGAGGAAAGAAAAATAAAGATTCACGATGCAACAAGATCTGGTGTTTCAGCTTCAATTGATAGCAATGCAGTGTGCACTTTGTCCAACCAATTGTCAAGCCGATCCCGTAAGGATTTAATTTGTGGGATCCCCAGAACTCTAGGTTGTACCCAGGATACATGTACTGTTCCATCAACTTGATCAATGATACCCTCAATAAGATGAACCTGCAGTTAGGTTTTGATATCTTAAGATACAATTTCCACAACACAGCACATACAAAAGCAATTAGAACCGATCAGACATGCAAGACCAACACATTGGACAATGCATCTTTTTTATTAAATAAGCCAGCCAATCATTTTGCTGATCATATCAGGGTACTTTCTTAATTCCCTTTTGGTGAGCCAGAAGGTCGTAATTGTCTTAAAGCAGGACTATAGTGTTGTAATTCATGTCTATAGCGATGTAATTCATGTCAACTCCTTGAAACTGATGTTTCTGTTAAATTTCCATTTAGTAACAAGGTTGAACAGCTAATCAGATGATACCAGTTCAAAGTCCAAAGAGAAGTTTGTTTCACGGCACTAACCGCGTGCAATTCTTCAGAAAAAATTTTCCTACAAATCTTACCATCATTCAAATGCATGTTAATCAAGAATATGAGGCAAAAGAATACGAAAATCAAAAATAGCAAGAGGAAAGAAACTTACAGACAAACTCTTCATGAGAAGATGTTCAACATCCTCGATGGAGAGTTTTGTGCGCTCAGCTATGACATTTAAAGGGAATTGTTCTATCCTCAGATGGTCGGCTGTAAGAAATATAAACTCATCCACCTCATTTATCTTATTAATTGAACCAACTTATTCCAAATTGCTCCCACACAATCACAGACAGACCAATGCGATACGCACTAAATATAATTTCCATCAGCAGAGAATGTTTATTTTCTCAAAAGTTTCTTCTCATTCTCACCAATGCCGTTGAGCAGTCAA